GTAGACCCAGTCTCTTATTTTTCTTAATAATATCACGTAATCCCATTGTCAATTTTTTATCAGCGGCCAATCACTTTCTTGCTTTCTTTTATGCTCATCTCTTTCATCGCTTCTACTCTGAATCTTCCTATCATATCCTTCTTATCATACGATTCAACTATATCTTGGCTTCCCTCAGTTCCAATTGTTCAATTAATCTTCTTTTCTTCGATTACTATGTAATTGTATGATATAGTTTCTTTTGGATGCTCCCATTCTTGTGTGAAGATTGGTTCATCATACACAATACGTTTTGTGCTCTCTTTGACTCGTTTATTATTTATGTCTTTCTGATCATCTTCCTCTATTTAATTCAAGCAGTTTCTGATTTTTGCCTTAGCATGGCGCTAGTCCTCTCTATTCATGTAATTTTGCACTTTTGTATCTTTTAATTTAAATGAAATAACACTTATATTTCATTACAACATGAAATATTTGAATAATAAAATTTTTGAGACTGTAATTCCTTGTGTCAAAGCAGTGTAGCTCGATAGAAACAAGGACTATTCAAATTAGCCTAATGTGTGTGTGTATCGAGTTGGTTAGATGTCGAAGTGCCGAAGCAGTTTGCTTGACACAGGATTTCGAATTAAGACCAAAATTAGTAATTTGGGCTTTTGTGTATTTGGGCTATCTCATCTATAAATAGAGGGAGTAACCCCTATTTTGTAATAACTAGAATTCACAGTTTTTGCAGTTCCAAAGTGAATAAAGAAATTTCTCAGTTTGTGGGCGGAGATTCCACAGTTAAAACTAACTTTTTTCTTTCTTGTTTTTTCATTAAAGTTGTTGCACATAATCTTTCTTGAGATAAAGATTGATTAAGAATTCTCAGAATATTTTGGGTTAATTCCAACATATGTATCTAGAACTCCAGTTGTGATTCAAAGGAAGAAAATCATGATGGTGTTGAATCATCCAAACAGACATTTTTCAGCGAACCTTCTAATTCTCAAGAACAATAATTATGAGAATTGGTGCAAGCAGATAAAGGTGGGTTTCTGTTATCAAGATCTTTGGGATCTTGTGAAGGGAGGAGTAGTATCACTTGCAGAAAATATGACAAATTAAGAAAAGACTGCATATAAAGAATTGAAGAAGAAAGATTATAAAGCTCTCTTTATAATCCATCAACGTATTGATCCATATAACTTTGAAAAGGTTAGGGATGTAGAATCAACGAAAGAAGCATGTGAAATCTTGGAGAAATCCTTTAGAGGTGCATAGAAGGTGAAAGAGGCGACGTTACAAACTCACAAAACGACGTATGAATTGCGTCAGATGGAAGAAAGTGAAAGCATAAATGATTTCTTCACTAGGGTTACTAGACTGGTGAATCAAATCAAGGTATGTGGAGAAGTGTTGACATCAAGATCAGTTGTTGCAAAGATCTTGAGGTCATTGACTCCAAAGTTCGACCACGTGGTAGTAGCCATAGAAAAGTCGAAAGACTTATCAATATTGACAAAGGAAGAGCTTCAAGGGACGCTTGAGTCTCATGAATAAAGGATGAATGAAAGAGCTGCAGGAAAGTCGAAGAGTGATATGGCTTTGTAGGCGCAGTCAGAAAAAGAAAAGAAAGGAAAAGGAAGTTGGAATGACAACAAAGATAGACGAGGTTACAATTATTCAAATGATCGAAATCAGCAGGAAGGAAACTGGTCGAATAAGAGAAAACTCTAGAACCAAGGTAACCAAAGAGGTGGTGGTCGAAAACCTGATAAAAGTCACATTCAGTATGACAATTGTAGAAGTATGGTGACTATTTTAATGAGTGTTGAGAAAAGAAGAAGAATCAAGAAACTAGTGCAAAGCTGACGAAACATGAAGAAGAAGAGATGTTGTTGATGGTCTCAACAAGAGATGAAGAAAGATTCCAGGACCAATGGTACTTGAGCTCAGGATGCTCATCTGACATGACTAGAAGGAAATACTGGTTTGTCAACATGAAACCCTCAATGAAGAACATGGTGAAATTGTAAATGACAATACTCTAGCAGTTGAAGGTATTGGTGATGTTATGATTATGAGGAAAGATGACAAGAGGTCAGTAATTTCCAATGTATTGTACATACTAGGCATGAAAAGTAATTTTCTCAGCATAAGGCAGTTGGTCGAAAAGAACTACAAGGTGTCGATGGAAGACAAGATGATGAAAGTTCTCGACTCAGGTGGTAGGTTAATCTTGAAGGCTTCAATGCCTTAGAATAGAACCTTCAAGATTGAACTTAATGTGATGGAGCATAAGTGCCTTGTAACTGCAGTCAGCAAAGCTGAATGGATATGGCATTATCGACTTGGACATCTCAATTTCAAAGACATTAGAGAGTTGAAGAGAAGAAATATGGTTTCAGGATTACCAGAAATTGACATTCCAAGCGAAGTGTGTGAAGAATGTGTTCAGGTGAAACAACACAAGAATAACTTCAGCAAGAATGCAGGAAGGAAGTCGAAGACAATTCTCGAAGTCATATACTCTGATGTATGTGGTCCTATCTAGGTGGATTCGATTGGAGGTAACAAATACTTTGTCACGTTCATAGATGATTTTAGTCAAAAACTGTGGACTTACCCGATAAAAAAGAGAAGTGAAGTGATTGAGGTATTTTCCAAATTCAAATCTATGGTCGAAAAACAGAGTGGTCGAAAGCTAAAGATTCTGAGGACTTATGGTGGTAGAGAGTATGTGTCGAAATATTTCGATGCATTATGTGAGAAAGAAGGGATTGTGCATGAGGTGGTTCCACCCTACACTCCATAGCAGGATGAAACTGTAGAAAGGAAAAATAAAACCATCATGAATACAGTGAGAAGTATGTTGAAAGGCAAACATCTACCCAAAGAATTATGGGGAGAAGTATGTTGAAAGGCAAACATCTACCCAAAGAATTATGGGGAGAAGTATGTTGAAAGGCAAGCATCTACCCAAAGAATTATGGGGAGAAGTTGTGTCGACTGCAACATACATCTTGAATAGATGTCCGACGAAGAAGTTAGAAGGAATCACACCAGAAGAATGCTTGTCTAGTGTCAAACCTAGCCTAAGTCATTTAAAGGTTTGGATCTATAGCACATACATGTGCCAGATCAGTTGAGAAGAAAATGTGATGATAAGTCAAGTCAAATGATCCTGATAGGATATCATTCGACTGGAGGATACAAGTTGTTCAACCCAATGAACAAACAAGTAGTGATCAACAGGGACGTGATCATAAATGAACTTAAGGAATGAGATTGGACTAAAAATGTTAAGACAAATTCAGTGAGAATCTTATGTGAAGAACCAACTAGTCAAGTCGAAAGAAAAGTTCGACTAGAAGAAGTCAGAGGTGAAGCAGACCCAAACAGGCCTCGACGAAAAAGACACATGTCTGCAAGGTTGCAAGAATGTGTGATTGCATCAGATGATGTGGTCGATGAAGAATGTGAGCTGATACACTATGTTTTCTACGCAGATGTTAAACCAGTCAATACAACTGAGACATTGAAATATTCGAAGAGGGTGAAAGTAATGAATGAAGAGTTAGAGCCCATCGAAGTCAACAACACTTGGTCACTTGTCGAATTGCCTTAAACCAAGAAGACAATTGATGTGAAATGAGTTTACAAGGTGAAGGTGAATCCTAAAGGAGAAGTAACTCGGCACAAGGCGAGACTTGTGGCGAAAGGATTTCTTCAGAAGGAAGGAATCAACTTCGACAAAGTTTTTGCACCTGTTGCTAGGATCGAAACAATCAGGTTGGTTATTGGTTTAACAAACATGAAAAATTGGCCCACATGTCAGATGGATGTAAAATATGCATTTCTAAATGGCCCCTTAGATGAAGAAGTTTATGTTGCACAACCAGCCGGGTTTGTGAAATAAGGTGAAGAAAGATAGGTGTACATACTGCATAAAATCCTATATAGACTTAAACAAGCTCCAAGAGATTAAGATTGATTAAAAATTCTAAATTTTTTATAGATTAATTCCGAAAAAGTAAGAGTCATGCTAACTAGTACCCCCGAACACTTGTTAAAAATTTCAAATAAAAAAATATATTATATATTTAGTTCATTGAATACATATAAGATTTTCTTTTAGTTAATTATTTATGTTTTAAATCATTAAATACAAATATTTTTTAACCAGTGGTTCGAGGACATGGTGTCCGAGAACACTCGTGAGCATTTTTCATATTATATATATATATATATATATATATATATATATATATATATATATATATATATATATATATATATATATATATATATATATATATATATATATATATATATATATAACAAAAATACAATAAACACAATATTCATTTATAGAAAAAGACAATAATCATGTTTTTATTAATTTATACTTAATCCAGTAAAAATAAAAAATAAAAGTTTTACATACATTGTTCATACAAAATCATACGTGGCAAGTTCTGGTTGGTTACACTTACATCATTTTCTTAAAAAGATAAAGAAAGAAAGAATAGTTAAATAACTAATAGCAATATTTATCTTCAACCCTGAAAATTGGAAATCCACGGCAAGATCAAAAGGCACCGACGACATCTCTATTCTCCGTTCCAACTCCGATCCTACAATTTCAATCGGTACATTGTTTTCTCATTTCGTTAATTAGGCAAACATTCTTTCGATTCAGCATTCAGATTCTAATAATAATATTGGTTTTCAATTCTATAATTTGAATATGCATTTCACAAATCTTTCGTTCTATTGATTTACATTTTCTCTGTAATTTCCAGAGCCAAATAATGCATAACCAACTCACTCGTTTATAGGTTTTCTATTTTTTTATTGCTTAGCTACAAGATATTAGGGGTAAAAAATATTATAATTTATTTGATTCTTAATGTATGTGTAGAACATATTGATTGCTTTTTTATTTTTGATTCATTGTGTTTTCAAAAGTTGATTAAATTAAATGATTGTTGTGTTTTTTGTTGTAGAGGAACATGATGAGGTTGAAGACATATGCTGGTCTTAGTTTGATTGCAACTTTGGCTATTGCATATCATGCATTTAACAGTAGAGGCCAATTTTATCCGGCTATGGTGTATCTTTCGACTTCAAAGATAAGTTTGGTGCTTCTTCTCAATATGGGTTTGGTTATCATGTGTGTTTTGTGGCAATTGACAAAGATGATATTCTTGGGTTCGCTTCGAGAGGCTGAGGTTGATAGGCTTAATGAGCAATCGTGGAGGGAGGTTATGGAGATTCTCTTTGCGATTACTATTTTTAGGCAGGATTTTTCGGTTACGTTCCTTGCGATGGTCACTGCGTTGTTGTTAATTAAGGCTTTGCATTGGTTGGCTCAGAAGAGAGTAGAGTATATTGAGACTACTCCTACCGTGACCATGTTGTCTCATATTCGAATTGTATCTTTTATGGGCTTCCTTCTTCTTCTAGATAGCGTTTTCTTATATAGTTCTTTGAAGCATTTGATAGAAACGTGGCAGGCTTCTGTTTCTCTGTTCTTTGCTTTCGAGTAAGCCTTCTTACTCCTTTTCCTCATACTTATGAATCGCTGATACCTAAACAAATCCATCTAGGCCAATGTTGATATATGAAATTTCACATAATGGTCATCTCATAGTTAAGAATGAATTATGGGGCAAAAATGTTTTTCTACATTAATATCACCAGATTTGTTTGGCATAGGGGAGAAAATAGTTGTCTGAATGTGCATTGAGCCCTGCAACAGCAATTACAAGTCATAAATTCTTGAAACACTTGTCGCTGATAGTATTATTTTCTTTTTCAATATTTATCTTTTTAAATAAATTAAATTTTATGCGTGATATCTCCCATAAATCATATTGCTATATGATGCTATCATTCTTATAATCAGTGAAGCTATGTTTTCATGTATTTACTGTTTATTTATATTAAATTATAGAATACCTATACACATTGTGGATAACATGCAAAGCACTTTGTACTATGCATTGCATACTATTTGGTTTTATTATACTTTATACTCAGTGACAAGTTGTTTGTTTCTACCTCAGGTACATGATACTGGCAACAACAACAGTGTCGATTTTTGTAAAATATATTTTCTATGTCAGTGACATGCTTATGGAGGGACAGTGGGAAAAGAAACCAGTCTTCACGTTTTACCTGGAACTTATTAAGGACTTGCTGCACTTGTCCATGTATCTGTGCTTCTTCTTTGTTATTTTTGTGTAAGTGATCAGTCAATTATATTATCTACATTTATATACGTGTTTGTGTGTATACCAGAAGTAATTTTGTGCGTGTCTCATTGAGATTTACTTATTTAACCATTGGGTTGCACATAATTTTAGTTTACCGTCTTAATTGACTATGATACTTGGGCTTTATGTTGCACTCCCATGCACACATTTGGTTTCTGTTTTCATACTCATTTTATTTTGGTTTAATTTCATGTTTAACCTTTCATCAATTATCTTTTTTACCTACTAACTTGAAGTTGATCTATTAGAAACTACGGTATTCCCTTGCACCTAATACGGGAATTGTACGAGACATTTAGGAACTTCAAAGTTCGCATTGCAGATTACATTAGATATCGTAAGATCACTTCAAATATGAATGATCGCTTTCCAGATGCAACCCCCGAAGAGCTTGATGCGTGAGTTCTAAACTTGATATAGCATATCAGCTTATTAATTTATTATTAATGTGAATGGAATTTTTACATTATTTTAAAATGGCTATGCAGTAGTGATGCAACTTGTATTATCTGTCGGGAAGAGATGACTGCTGCTAAGAAACTGATATGTGGACACCTTTTTCATGTCCATTGCCTTCGATCATGGTTAGAGCGACAACATACTTGCCCTACCTGCAGAGCCTTGGTTGTACCAGCCGAAAATGGAACAACTGTTGCTGGGGGTCAGCAAGGAGCACAATCAAATGGTCATCGACAGGGTAATAACAATCATATTATAATCACTCACTGTAGGATGTTTGTAAAACATGTCAATGATATGCAAGATTTGAAAATCGAACTGATATCATTTTCAAGATGCATCTTAAATTGAATATAATATCTGTAGAAGTAAATAAGCATGTTTGTTAATGCTTGCTTTGTCATTTTAACTGGGACATGCACTGGAAGTACAGGTCAAACCGAGCTTGGCAGTGGGGGAGCAACTGATAGTGTGAGTCGCCATCAAGCTAGACTCCAAGCAGCTGCTGCAGCAGCTTCAATATATGAGAAGTCTTATGTTTATCCCCCGGCAACTTATTCTGTACGGTACGGCGTTTCTACTCGGACAATATCCCTCTTTTTTCTGCAACTGCTTAGGAAATCAGTCCAATGCTGTAACTGGTTACAACTGATCTAACTACCTACAGCTAAGCACATAGTATAACTGCTTATGAAATCAGTTCAATGCTGTAAATGGTTACTACTGATCTAACTACCTACAGCTAAGCACATAATATAGCACCTAGAGCCTTTTCATATGGGAGCCTTATGTATCTTCAGAATAATTCTCAGTCTCTGAAATTCCTCTCGCATATTTTGCTTCATTTTCTTTTGCATTTCTATATTTTTATACAAGTATTTTTTCTGAACATTTTTTCCTTTTGAAAAAGTTTTGGAGACTTGAGTATGCTCTGGTGACAATGTGGTTTGCTACATTTCGTTTTAATTAATTATTTTTCCTCCTAGAGTCCTAGTTCACATATTTACTAAAATGAATGCTTTTAACAAAACAAAGGACCAATTTGTGGTCTCACTCTTGGAATTCGTCACTCAAAATATTGATAATACTGAATTAGTCAATGAAGTGTTCTAATACTAAATAACTGCACTTTTTTCTTAAATTTACAGATCTCCTGGGTACACTACTTATCCCCCGGTTGCTGAATCTAGCAGTATTGATCTTAATGGAGAACAAGCTTCCAGTGAGCAAGCACAACAGAAGTTTCATAACCCTGGTGGGCCAACGAATGTACCCTTTCCTCTGACAGGACAATCTCTTCCTTTCCAACCACACGCGGCACCTTCCAATTATGGAGTGAGGATTGGAAATGATCGAAATACCCGAAAGGTTGAGTTTGAAGCTCATAAACAAATGTTTCAAGAACAGATTGAGGTACAACTACACTTCCTCTTTTTGTTTACCTCCTCACTGTTAGTGGTACCTGTCTTATTGGTTTTATATTCATATATTAAGGTTTTTTTGATAATTATGATGAGAATCCAATGAGTATCCCCTTCTCACTGTCTATATTCTCAGTTCCGCCACCTATTCACAATTACTTTTCACAATTAGGCTTCTACAACCAGTGTCCACAACATTAAATTTTTAAGTTAACTGGTTTCCACCGCATCAGTTTTTAGTGTGCATGGTCTCTTTTACTGTGTAATCAATTTGTTTGATTAAAGATTGAATTGCATAGCTTTGATTGATGAAATTAATCATTGTAACTCACAGTAGACCCCCTTTCCCACTTTTAAACAGATTCTGCAAGAACATATACAGAAAATGGAGACCACCTATGCTGAAGGAAGTGTAGATGATGGCATGCCATCATCAGAAAGCAGAGGCAAGCTTAGTGTTTCCTCGGAGAATCAAGAGGGAGAAGCATAAGGTCGATTGTTTATGTCGGGTCTATAGCAGGAGAAAACCACCGTTGGGTCTATACCAGTAGAATCCTAAATGTAGATATAGGAAGAGGAAACTAGGGGAATAACAGTATTCCTCTAATGTGACATCTGTTCTTTGGGATACTGATATTGTACATGCACAGTGCCCCTTAAAAATTGATTTCCTTTTTTTTTTTTAAAACGTGAGATGAAAAAATTGCTGAACATTTTGTCATAAATAACCATAATATGTGATGGCTTCCCGGTTATAAATGACATGTATATGTTTAGTAATGTGAATAGTTCCATATTTTTTATTATCAGAGAGAATTTCTATTAATCTGTCTATTTTTCATTCATTTGCACAGTTTGTTTATTTTTTGACTGTTTTATTTTAACTTTTGGTAATAGAAAGTTCCCCTCTATTCTACTGATGATTTTTTCCCACAAATCTCTCAAAGTTCTCTCTGCTCTCCATAGTACGTTCTCCGTCGCAGCTGCCGTCAACCTTCCTCCGCCGTTCAGAATCCGCTTCCTTCAAGTAAGTCTCTGGCCCTTTTTTCAGATTCTATGAATTTTCTGATGATATTTCCGCTGAGTCTATGAGTTTTTCGGCGAACGGATGAAGTTTCCGATGAACTCATTAAGTTTCTGGCGGAACCATGAAGTTTCTGGCGGACTCATGAATTTTTCGATGAAGATGTCGGGGAGTTCATGAGGATTTTGGGGAACTTCATGGGGTTTTCGGTGAAGGCCTCAGGGTCCTACGATGAAGGCCTCGGGGAGCCCTTCTCCCCGCTAACGCATGAACATTGCGAGGAAGTATCTTGTCAAGGAGGCTTCCCGTGTTCAATTGGAGAGATTTTACGCGCTGAGGAGTCTTTCTGTCGAGAAGGGAGACTCGCTGTTTTGCGTCAAGGAGAGTCTCCTTGTGGATGAGCCTTTCTACCAAGGAGGAAGGCTAACTGTTTTGCGTCGAGGAGAGTTTTCTCTTGGATGAACCTTTCTACCAAGGAGGGAGGCTTACTATTTTGCGTCGAGGAGAGTCTCCTTGTGGATGGATTTTCCTCGACGGGAGTTATGGTTGGAGAAGTTTGTCGAGCGACTCCTAGCCGCTCTCTTCGCCCTTTCACTTGATTTGCAGTTGAAGGGTGAATTTGATCTTAGATGTTGAATTCACCGTTTTTCTCTACTTTTTAGGTAAAATGGTTGCAAGGACCGAGGGTGTCATTATAATCGACGAGGAAGTCGAGTTCGACACCGCCGTTGAGCAAGTCAGGTTCGAGCGAGTCCGTACACCTTTAGATTAGGCCGGGCGGGAACCCCTTAGCACCTCGTCGCGCTTCGCCATTGACGGCTCGGACGCCTTCGCAACCGTTGAGAACCTTGCCGAGGACGCCTCCCCGAATTGGATGGTTTACAAGCCCAAAGAGAAGCATCATATTTGTTCGTCGTTCAAGGGGATGCGGTTCCCGATGTACAAGTTTGCGTTTCGGGACGCATGGCTTCGTCTGCCCTTTAGTGAACACCTTTGCGTTGGAGCCACGCTCCCCTTGTTCTTTCGCACTTTTCACCTACAATGACAATTTTTCCAAGGCCGACACGATTGGGTATTTCTAAAGCAGCCGAGGAAGTAGTTTCGGGCGTACCAGGATTCTGTCCATACCTTCAAGGACAAATACTTCATCGTAAAGCCTATGTCGCATGCGTCTGTCGACTCCCTGTATGATCTTTTGTTCAAGGAGGAGAACAGGGAGCAGATGGAGTGTCTAGAGGCGAAGTTCCCTCTTGAGTGGGAGAAGGTCCACTTCAACAGAGTTACGAACAACTACATTGTCAAGCCCGACTCTCTGAACGTTGAGGATCGACTATCTTATGAGAAGATAGTCGAGTTCGTCTCCGGTTTCACTCCTGCTAAATGTGTCAACAAGGACGAGAGTTTTATTCTCGACGAGTGTGAGGAGGTTCGCTGCGAGTCTCGGTTAATCAATACCAAGGCCCTCCTCGAGTGCGGGTCTGATGAGGAAGCCTTGAGGTTCTTGGTAGTGAGTGTTTTCTTCGCTCGCGGGTCCGCTTGTTTTTCTTCGCTATATTAACTTGTTTTTCCCTTTCTCTATTGCAGGCCAGATGTCGAGCATCCAAAAGCACGTGTTGAAGCTTGCGGTGACCAAAGGCGCCAAGAAAGCCTCCAAAAGCCACGTCACCTAGGTCCAAGAGATGGCTCAGGCCGACCAACATTCCAGGGGTTCTTCCTCTCCTCGGGAGAGTTAGTCCCCAATCTTTCAGGACCCTCCGGCCAAGAAGCAGAATCTCGAGGAGTATGACCCCATCGACCTCCTAGAAGGTGTTGTCGGGGAAAGATTTGTATTGCCTCTCCGCCACCTCCATGAGGAGCTATTCAGCAGGAATAAGTCTCTGACCGTGCCCGCGGCGGAGTCTAAAACAATCATGGGGTTTGACAAGACGAGCTGGAGAAAAGCTCTGTGCGAGGAAATGATGAGCATGATGAGGATTTTTGAGACGGCCCTGGTCCTTAACGATGAAACTAGCCCCTCCTTCGAGTTGAAGAAGCTGCAGGAGGAGAATGCGCTCATGGAGGCTAAGAAGGACAAGACAGAAACTGACCTTCTTGACTATCACTCGAAGTTTGAGGCCCATGTGCTCTTCCTTAAAGATATGAATGCGTTATAGCAACAACTGAGGAAGACTGAGGAGGTGAGAGACCAACTACGGATCAAAGTTGCTGGTTTGGAGGCCGCTGCTCGCTCTGCCGAAGAGGGAGATTGCATGGGGACCCTCGAGCTGGGATTTAGCATGGCGGTGAAGCAACTTCAGATTGTCAACCCCGGGCTCCAGCTTGTCACTGACGGGATCCGTGCTTTCCATCGGGTGGTCGACGGCCGAATAGTTGCCTCTGAAGTGTTTGACAGTGGAGCTGACTAGAGCGACGAAGAGCCCCGACCCGAGGAGGAAACCGTCGTTTGATTCTTTTTAGCTGTTTTGCCTGCGCGCTGCATTTTGATTGTTGTTTTGCTTGGTCTGCGTTCCATAATTTATAACCTGACTTTGCCCGACCTGCGTGCCATGGGTTTTGATATTGCTTGGCCTGCGCGCCTTGGCTTGTAATGTTTGAACAATGAGTTTTTTGCCCGCCTCAATGCATTGTGTCTTATTATTTTGGATATTCGCATATTGTGTGCTGTTGTATGTCAAATACTTAATTTTCTCATGAATCTACAATATTGGGTTTGCCTATTTTTACTAAGTAGTCGGGGCCATTGCTCGACGTAGATGGTCCTCGATCGTGCGGAGAACTGGCCGAGTGGTCAGAGTTGGGTTCCGATCGTCGACGAAGCCAAGAGCTCGGTCGAGGTCTTTGCTTCATGGTATGAACTTCCCATTGCAAGTTGGGCGTTCTGTTCTGCCTAATTGGTACGACAACGATGGAGCTCGGTTGAGGTGTCCCCGTCGGATCAAGAGTTCGCTCACACACACAAGAGCGGGCTCTTGTCTTTTTGTCTCAAGTTTAGGAGTTGCGCTTGTACCCTAGCGCTCCCCCGTGGTCGCGACAGGCTTTGTCGCGGTCAAACCGAGTACGTTGCGGGCAATGTTTATTGTAATACTGTATAAGCTTTTCAGCGTTCCATGGTTGAGCAATTTCCTCCCTGTGTAGGTTTTCGAGGTAGTAGGCCCCGTTTTCTGTCATCGCGCGAGTCTTTCTAGTTCCTTCGTAGGACTAGGCTGCTTACCTGCAATTCACGTTTGATGACTTTGCTGTCATGTCACAAAGTTATTTTTTGCTTGAGGCGAGGCTTCGCGGAGGGATGCCCCCGATCAGATTTCTTCGATCAAGTCGAGTTCCTTCCTTAGGGACTCATCGTTCGTCTCCTCATCGAGGGGAGATTCGATCCTCTTAGAGGATTCCCTTATTTTCACCGAAATTACTGCCTTAATTCTGTAGGTCAGTCGAAATGGGGTCTCCCTGGTTGTCGAGTGTGGGATTGTCCTATAGGCCTAAAGCTTGCTGTGTAGCTCCTCGACCTACCTTTTCTTGGCCTCGCCCAGTCTTCGTTTCAGGCCTCGCAGGATCATTCTTTTCGCGGCTTCGGCTTGCCTGTTTGTTTGCGGGTACTCGACAGATGTAAAATGTTGCTTCGTGGCCAGCTTGGTGACGAAGTCCTGGAAGTTCTTGTCAGTGAATTGCATCCCGTTGTCGATGACGTTTGCTTGGGGTACACCGAACCGAGAAAGTATGTTCCATTTGTAGAAACAGAGTATGTTGTGCGCCGTGATTTGGCGAGGGATTCAGAATCTATCCTTTTTGTAAAGTAGTCGACGACGACTATTAAATAATTGTTCTGGTACGACTATATATTAAAGGGTCTGAGGATGTCCATTCCCCACCAGAAGAAAGGCCACGGGGACGAGAGCTTTTTAAGCTCGTTGGATGGGGCCAGGTGCATGTCCCCGTGCCATTGACATTTGTCGCATCTCTTGACATGTTCCTTGGTGTCCTGTTGCATAATGGACCAATAGTATCCCGCCCACAGAGCCTTACGCGAGAGGGATCTCCCGCCGAGGTGTTGTTCGTTGATCCCTTCGTGGATCTCCTGGAGTGTGTTGGGGATCCTGGACTCCTCAATGCATTTGAGGAGGGGAATGGAGAATCCCCGTCGGTAAAATTTGTTCTCGATCAAGACGTACGAGCAAGCTCGACATCTGACCATTCTAGTCTCCTTGGAGTTGTCGGGCAGCTCTCCCGTGCTGAGGTACGCGTATACCGCAGTTGTTGTCGCTGATGGTGTTTACGTCGACGGTTGAGGTGGGTTTTTCAATGCTTGGTTGAGAGAGTACCTCTTAGATGAAGAACTTGTTCTCGCATTTCTTCTTCGTGCTTGCCAGCTTCAACAGGATGTCCGCCCTGGTGTTGTGTTCGCGTGAAACGTATATCACTTCTGCAGAATCAAATTTTTTCATCCTTTCTTTCGCCAAGGCTAGGTACTC